TGCAGACCCTTCAAATAAGAATAGCATCAAATTGCCAATGGGCCTAAAAGAAGGAATTATCAAGTAAACAACCCATTAACATAAACAACAAAGAGAAAGATATGTTACCTATATAACCAGCATAATATCCAATATCTTCCTCCCTTTTCGCTATATGGAAGTCTCTTACCTGCAGAACGAAATGCAGGAGCTCCATATGAATAACTCATAAATAGCACATAAAAAGTCATCTCCTAAAATTTGTTACTACCATACTCAATTTACATTTACCTGACAAGAGGATTATTATTCAAGTCTCATGACATTCATCCAAGATATGCAGTTTACTCATATCCATGCATTGCAATGCATCCATCTAATTATGTGGAAGCAGAAATTGGGTTTGTCAGAATATAAAACTTGCCACCAGCTCTAAAATGCAGGAGTGTTTGCTGGAATAATGTTTTCAGTAGATTTAGCAGCATAGGATGTTAAACCTTAAAAGAAGGCTTTTTTGTCATTTGAGGCGGTAAAGAAAGCTGTAAGTTCTATTCCATGATTTCCTTCTATTCTATTACATTACTAATAGAGTTGGATACAAAAACAGTCTCCCCAAAAATAGGATAAAAAATATACTTCTAAGAGATTTAGGAAACTTTTCTGTATTTAGGATTGTTACATCTAGATCATATTTTTTTTCTCCCAGATTTTCTCATAACATTTCTGCATATTTCCTCTCCTGAAGTTTCTCTTAATATTTATGTACTCTCCCTCAAGCTAGACATAGATGTTGACCATGCCAAGCTTGGAGCTCAAGTCCTCAAAGTTCTTTCTTGGCAAGGCCTTAGTCAGTATGTTGTCAAGACATTAAGGGTAAAAAAAGAGATAAATAATAAAAAAGATAAATTAGTTGTTTACAAGTATCAATTAGGGTTAGGGTTAGAGTTAATATTTTGAATTTACTTCATATCAGTCACCACTGCATTGATTCCGGCCATGATAGTGACTGCTTTAATTGTTTATAACATATAAAATACTCAACCTTTATGTTAAAATCAATCAAGAAAAAGAGTAAAATTATTTCTCAAATTTCCCTCTCTGTTTCTCTTCTATTTCTCTCTTCTCTCTCTCTTTCTTTCTCAAAATCAAACAGTCATGTCAAAGGATTCTGACAATGTGGTATCAGAGTTGGAAAATCCAAAAGTAATCATCATGAAGGAGATCAACCTGAAACTCACCCCGTTCATGGAAGAATCGCAACGATAGTTCAGCATAATCCTGGATCTGCTCCGTGGCAGATCCGCCAACTGGACCAAAGAAAGCTTGGCTCGCATGGCAGAAGCAGTCCCGGAAGATGCGAGACCGACGGCTCAAGAGGCTGCATCTAACAACCAGCCGACCCTTTTTCCTCGTGATGAAGAAGAAGAAAAGATTTGGGATTCAGATTAAAAAAAATAAACCCTAAAACCGGTTCAGTTATTGAATTGAGCCAAACAATACAGACCGAACCAGGTTCGTTAACTTATCTGATTCTAACTGGTTCAACCAACATTTTGAACCGAATTGGTTCCCCTGCTCCCCTTCTCTTTCTTTCTCAAGCAATAGTGACCGAGAATGAACACCTTAGAGGTCTCTCTCTCGTTTGTGTAACGCCCAACAATTTTAGAATTTTATTGTTATTATCATTAATTTTATTTTTTATTTTTTATATTTATTTTATTTATTTAGTTTATTTTAATTTAAGTTGATAAAAATAAAAACAACAATAATTGTAAAATTGGGTAAAAATATTATTTGGATTTAATTGAAATTGATTTTGGGAAAAAGGGGTGAAAATTAGGATTCTGGGGGTATATTTGAAAAGAAAATCGGAAACCGAAAGTCAAAACGTAATTTAGAAAAATTGTGCCCCGTCAGCGCCACGTCAGCAGCCACGTCAGCGGCCCAGTCAGCAGCCCTGGCCAACCAGGACCTGCCGCGTGGCAAGACCAAGTCGACCCGGGAACGGGCCACGTGGGCGATCCGCGTGCGCGCGATCGGACGGCCCAGATGCAAGCGCACGGACGGCCCAGATGCACGCGCACGGACGGCCCAGATTCAATCAAACACGGACGGCCCAGATTTAACAAAAATGGACGGCTGTGATCAAAAGGCAAAAGAGTATAAATAAAACCCCCACACCTGACCACAAAAACCCTAGCCGCCTGCCCTCGCCGGAGAAGACGAACTAGACGCCGGAGGAGCCGGCCGCCGCCACCCGCTGCTGCACCGGGGAGTTTTCCGACCGCTGATCAAGGTAAATTTCATACTCCCAGCTCGTTTTTCAATGCTGAGTTCCCCTGTGGCCAAATCGGAGCCAAAATTCTGGCCAAACGGCCGAAAAACAAGGCCGAAACCCAGCGACGCCGCCGCGCCCCTCCTCGGTTTTTGCCTCCGATGAGGCCCTTCCCGGCCTCCGTTTGATACAATTTTTATATCACCGTGATCACCATTCTTTTCTCTACAGGTTGATCGGAGCCAAATCACCAAAACACGAACCTCGCCAGAGAGCCGCCACACCCGAGAGCACCGCCGCTGGTAAGCTTAAATTTTTCGTAATTTTTTGGCCCCCCGAGGGCCCTAGGGTTGTTTTATCGCAGTGACCGATGCAAGTGTGGCCGAAAACGGCCAACCCGAGGTGAATCGCCGTCCCCGGAGCATGGTAGAACCACCGTGCCAGAATTGCGATATTGGTCGAAAAGGGCCATGGGTCTAATTTGGGATTTTTTGGGACACGTACAGGTACCAGTAGTGCGTTTCAGTTCTCCGGAAAAAATTCAGGGAAAATTAGGGACAGCTTGTAGGCGCACTGTAGAGCCGTATTCGGACCCCAAAACAAGTAAGGACCCCTCACCCTATTTCCTATCACGGTATTAAAGTTCAATAAATAATAAAACGGTATTTCATGAATCAATAGATGTGTGAAATTGTTTAAGGTCGCTAATGGAGCCCGAGTCTGGTGTGTTTGTCGGTTAGCTGCTGTTTGGCCTATTTTACGATTTTAAGTGCAGTATAAGGTCTGATGTTTTCATTTCATAGTTTCGTGTGCATATATTACTGTTTTATTGATTATAGGTTGAATGACTGAGAACCCGATGTTGTATGTGGTCTTGTTTGGCATAAATTACTGGTTTGCTTGTTTGTGTGTGAATTGATGATGCTGACTGAGAAAAAGGGGAATGAAAGGTTATGTAAATTGATAATTGTATAATGTGGTCAACCTGACTAGATATCCTGGGAGATGGTGGATGGACCAGGTCCGTAGGGAACCCTACCGGGATTGTGGTCTCTCATACCGGACGGGGTATGGAGACCTTATGTGTTTTGGCGCCCATACCGGACGGGGTATGGGGACGGCCCGTTTCACCCTCATATCGGACGGGGTATTGAGGTTTATAGTTTTGGCGCCCATACCGGACGGGGTATGGGGACGACCTTGGAATCTGATTACAAGTGTTAAGGGTTCACGGGTAGCAGGACCCCTATGGATCCCCATGGATACTAGTAGGCTGGTAAATGAGGAAAAATATGTTGTATAACGATTGAATTTGCATAAGGCGTGATAAGTATTATGTTATATAGCTCATATGATTTCATGATGATGATAATGTTATTGCTTTCGTATATTGTTTTATAAATTTCACCGAGGTAAGTGGATAGTAAAGATTTTATTTTGATAAAAGAATTTGTTGTAATTATGCTCCATTGGTCTTTTTGTGATTTTCTACCCATCTTTACCTCCGTGACGGTGAGATAGTGTGATGTCTTTACTGGGCTGGTGTA